GTATCTGCCCTCCGGTTTGGGATGTTGCTCCTTGTTGCAATGGAATGACACTCCCATTTGCCATATAGATGTTAAAAATCTTGAGAGGATATTAAGTGAAAGATTGACGAGTGAATTGTAAGTATAAATCTATCAGATTATTAAAAGGTACTGTGAAAGTTTAGCGTATTAAACGTGTATACTTGACGCTAGGATAGAACTGAGTTGAAATTACACGCCTATAGTTAGATATTCACCTGAGGCACAAAAAGAAATCTGACCATCCCTCCACTTACGAGGAACTTCCAGCGGCTATACGCCTGTGAAGACGTAACCACTGAACCTGTTCATGCGTAATCACGTCGCATTGCTAGTGAAAAGGTGCTTGAACTATAGATCATTGAATGTCTAAGTAACACTGTACCGGTTTGTTGAAAGAACCAATTTTTGCCAAAGCTTCTCTGAGTGTTTTAGTTGCTACTTTCAGGGCTGCTGCTCTCGCTGCTACTGCACCAGCCTCGGCTCCAGCTTTCTCTCCGGCCATAGCTCCTGCTTCTGCACCAGCTGTTGCACCACTCTTTATTGCTTGTTTTGCACCAAGGGTGGCACCAGCCTTGGCTCCCGCCTGCGCAGCTATTGTTATCATGGCAGCGGGGGTTTCGTTGGCTGCTTTTTAGACATAAATACACGTCATTCGTACAGCTTTGAATGGTTTCATCGCATCATTTTTAGTGAAGTGATTAATATTTTTTCATCGTTTTTTACTGTGCTCAAAAATGGAATTAAAATATCAAAGTAGCGATGAAAAGAATGATAACAATAATGATAATGATGAGAACGATAAATAGACTTTACACTCCCCTACTTGTAGTCAAAGATGAATTTTGTCAGGTTTCAAGAAAACATATACAATTTAACAGTCATCACTTATTCCTTTCCTTACCAACTTAAAAATGAGCGTAAAATCAGACGGATTATCTTACGTCGTGGTTTTGGTGGTGTTGTTGTACGAAGAAATCGCGAAGGGATCGGATTGTGCTGTTTTCCGTCGGGAGTAATTACACCAACATCAAAGTTGTCACGGCCATATTGTTGTTTATGTAGTCCTTCGAGGTAGTAATAAGAGCCTTTTATCAAGTGTATTGGTTGAGACTTTTGTTCAGGATATCTATAAGAAAAACACTTTCTTGATTGTGGTGAACTCCTTTTCCAGATGCAATTGGTGTTTGTTTTGCCCTCACCTTTCCTGGGCCAAATTCAAGCAATTTCATTTTTTAATGTTGTTACAGGATTGAACTTATTTTACGTATTAAACTGGCTTTGGGTTTTTACCCATAGTCCTTTACGTTCAACCTTAGCTTGCTTATTGACCCGTGGCCCAGCAAACAGAGCTCAGGCAAAACAGCATGACAAGCACTTACTTTGAAGCGGGTAGTTATAAGATGAGCATAAAAAAATGATAATAAATCATCATAACTTTAACAATGTGACCTGAACGACAAAAATCCTGTTATGTGTGAGCAGGGCTGGAAAAAGCCGCGAGATACGTGCTGAAAGGATAATGGAAGAAAGATAAATAGCAGCGGTCCTATGTGAAAATGRGTACTGACTGACTTTGGTCGAGTCAGACGATAAGATACATCATATTTGGTTCTTCCTCCTGAAGTAGGAACCGAGTGCAGCAAGGTCCGTATCCTATTACTTTGAGCCACATGTTTTCCCTCCACCCTTTCAATCAGTATATAATTGCATACTCTCAAAAGAAGCTGTGAAATTATCAAATGACTGGAAGGAATCGCGTCTCAGCCCTGCCAGCCTGTCAAAGGCTCTGCTAATCTTATGTAACCACCAACCTTACCAATTGGGACACTTAAAACTGCGAAGTGATGGAACACTGATATGACATATTTAGTTTCTTCATCAATAGATCTGAAGTTTAAAAAAGTTAAAACATGAATAAGAACTGTCAGAATTACGTCGTGAAATGAAGTGGTAACTTACGCATTAAAGCCCAAGTGATGAGACTCGTGATCTTTGCCGGCTTTAGCTATTAGTATTTTCTCGTCTGGGTTCTCGTTTAAGCTGAAGAATAACTCACCCTCGTTGTCACTCGCTAAAACGAAGTGTGATATAATGTTTTAGGTATTGAAACTAACCATTCAAATGAAAAAAAGCGCTTAAAAGACTGTAGGGGAATTTTCCTTTTTGCGAGACAGAGAAATTAAACGATTGGCGGGATTGGATATTTTGGAAATAGATATGTCTCTTAAGATTGGCTGTAAACTCCAAGGTACAGTCTTGAAAAATCAGTTGGCAGTGACATCATACTTTTAAATTTTCACGCGACGTACGGTTTAGTCGCATTAACTAGGCAAGATGTTAACGATAAATATTTTTGGGTTCCTTCTATGCCCTTGCATTGCCTACAATTACCTAAAATATAAAAATAATCAGTCACCCAAATTTTCATCACATTCACACTTTTTACATAAAAGCCAAAGGTCTTGAGCGCCATTCTCATAAAAAAGATTGCCTTTTGGCATACATTAAGTTATTCTTCTTTTTTTAGCAAGGGCAAAGGCAGCTAAATGGCTCCGTTATTTATAGTGTTTACAACTTGTACCCTCAGTTAGGTGACATTTCCCTGTCTTCTAATACCTAATTGGAAGATGTGATATCCCGTTTGAAGTGGCACAAAGTAACCCCTGATTCTTGATCCATAATTAGTTCCCCAGTCCTTTGGTTGGCCGAAAGTTGGACTGTATTGACGTGATATTGGAAGCTTAGGAAATTTGGGGTCTCATAAAAGTTTTTCAACCAGATAGCCGTCGATTTTATGCCATCTCTCTAAAATGACTCCTTGTTGATATTTGATTCCTGAGGGTCAAAAATTAAAAGTAAAAATTATAAGGGTTAGATTACAAGTTCTCTGGAGGGTTCTGATCAACACTCATAGTCAAGCCTAGGGGCCGTTTTGCGTTCTCCAGAGATGATAGTTCTGCACCTATTCTTCTGTTCCATAAAGAATTTTATCCATGTGCTTTTTGAACCACTCCCTCGCTACAATTTGTCGACATTGGCATTTGAGTATTGCGTCACCCTACATTGAGGACATGTTCACGACTTATAGCCATTGTACAAGGGGATACGTTTCTAAAGACTGTTTTACTCCGTCGGTGGGCTATGACAAGGCGCTAATGCCCGAATGGTGGCTTTAGAAGATATTTACGGTGGCCAATTTACATTATCAACTCAGTTGATAAAACCAAATTATCTTATAGCTATGGTCAGCCTGCCAAGCTCTTAAGAACGATGATGAGGGGATTATATCTGAGCTCCTAATGTACTCTCTTACCTTCGTTTGGGTGAAGATAACCTACGATGTCACGAGGTTGCACTTCCTTTTTCTCTGATTTCAAAGCAGAAAAATGAAAAGTCGTATTCATAACAACCATTTTTTTTTATAACATAGCTTGCAAATTCGTGCAATCAAATTCAATAGCGCGAGCCTGCTTCAATTTTCCATTGTGCACGCTGGTGACCTTAGCAAACAAATGCCTCGCGAGTGACTTCAGCATTTATCATTAAAAAACGGGAAAAACCTGCGCAAAAAAAGTTAAACTAGACATGACAACAAGCGAACAAGCCGATGAAGATCTGCCTACTTTTTCTTTGGGAATGGATTTTTTAACTCGCGAAAACGAACCCAGAGAAAGGTAAAACAAAATAAGCAACGGTTTCATCTCGCTTAGGAACTCTAACTTCATTTCCACGCATGATGCACCTGTCAGTTTTTGACCAATCTGAGACAAGATTATTGAAGCATGACGAAATACTTTTCCGAAACAAAATAAACATCGCATTGAAGCGTAGGAGAGGGAATTTCTGCCCTTTATATATAAACTACAGCGTTGAAAATGTTATAAAACAATTGGTTCATACATCAGATGTGCGTTCATCTAGATATGAAGTACGCGGGAAGTTTGGAAAGCACTCAAGAAGCAAGAGTTGCTCTTGGCTACGCCTCGAGCAACTCTTACGCATCTTTCGTGCTCTCCAAACTTCCCGCGTGCTTCACATCTCGATGAACGCACGCTGACGTATGAACCAATTGTTAATTTTTGTCAAGTCATCCTTGACCATGTTGAGAGTCGAATAAATAAAATTGCCCAGACGTAAAGAGATCATTTTTACTATTCCTTTAACACTCTCGCATTTACAACATAATTTATTCAATTCTATATACTATACTATACTATACTAAATTAGTATAAATTGGTTTACTCAAGAATTTTATCAAAGAATTTTTCTTTGAATTGGTATTATGATAGATGAATTTGTAATTTTTCAAGCTGCTTTTCAAGGCAGAAATCTTGAACTTTACGGTACCAGTCATGGTGCTGACACACGTACATGTTACTGAGATTTTAAGCAAATATCGAAAGTACGAAATTCGACCCATTTTCTCACCTAAAAGATATTTTAGATGGATGAGTACTACAACACGCGCTTCAACTAACATACTGATCGCTATATGTTTTAAACGAATAATACTTTTTCAAACGTATTTACGCGTCACTTCACAAGGGAATTTCGTATTAAGCATGTCAATGGCATCGAAAATGTAATATATACTCATTCGAAGATAACATTGAATTTCATGGGTAAGCTTGTGGAGATGCGTGGTTTCATTGGGATTTACAAAAGGAATACACACGCTGGTCAATCCTTACCGTTGTTTGTCTTTGACGCCGAGGAAGGCCAATGGAACATGTTGGAGAAAATTCCAAAGAGCAAAATCTTTGCACCTCTCATGCTGCATTTTCAGGACATAGCAATCAGATCTGTGCTAAGTATACGATCCACCTCTCGAGTTTTACAACATAAAATACAATATTTCCAATTTTATTGTCCTATTTAATGGTGTAGACGTTCAAACTAATTTCCCACCAGCTAATTTTATTTGGTCGTGTCACCAAACACGTCATGATGTAATCCAAAGTGAAGACTCCCTGCTAAAGGGTCGACATTTTACCAGCTGGGGGTATGTTCGCTGATAGAATTGATATGATAATTTTTCAAGTAGGAGCTAATTCTGTTGACAAAGGTTCGTGACCTCGGCACTAACGAGAAGAAGGAGGAATGATGTATCAGGTAGCGTAGAATAAAAAGACATGTAATTAAAGGGTAAAGTGCGGTACACTCTCGTTTTAAGGTCATGGATGCGATAATTATTTATCGATAATATTTGATGCGATAATTATGGACTCGAAAATTACGCTGTAATTTGATTACCAGCATAACATGGAAGAACTTACAAAAGTCCTTGTATAGTGGACTTGCTTTAAGACACACTTGGAATTAAGTTGCTTATGTAGCTTTTTCGTCATCGTCGCCATTTTGGTATTTCCCGAAAGGAATGTCGTTTTCGTCATCATTATCAATATCATCATCCTCATGATTACCAAAATTTCAAACACTATGGTACTAAGGAAATCAGCCTCTGATTGTACAAGTGACACCAATGGAAACATTTTTAACTTAAAGGGAGGGGAGGCTGTGTGGTAGAGTGGTTAGGGCGCTGGACTTGCAATCATAATAATAATTTAATATTTATATTGCGCAAATTAACATGCGGATATCATCAAATGCGCATCACAACACTTTTCGAGGTACTTTGTCGAGCCATTTAGCAAGGGGAAAGTTGTACGTGTCGGCTATGAGGCCTATATTATCAGCCACCGACACGTACAACTTTCCCCTTGCTAAATGGCTCGACGAGAAATTGAAGCCCTTGTCCCTTAATCAGTATACAGTTACTGATAATTTTGATTTCACAAAAGAGATTCACGAGCTGAAGATCAACAAGGGTGAAATCTTGGTTTCGTATGATGTCTCCTCGTTATTCACAAACGTGCCTTTGGACGAAACAATAGAGATCTTGGTTAACAGAGCCTTTTCGAACAATTGGTTCAATACTACCCACAATCTTGCCCTTACCAGAACAGATCTTATTGACCTCCTAAACGTAGCCACCAAAGGCCAACTATTTCAATTTAACGGAGCTCTATACGAACAGACAGATGGCGTTGCTATGGGGTCCCCTCTCGGGCCCTTATTAGCAAACGTCTTCATGTCATCCATCGAAGATACCCTTGAGCGACAAAGAAAACTCCCATCCTATTATCGTCGATATGTTGATGATACACTCACTGTAATGCCTGATCTAGCAACAGCAACTACCTTCTTGCATACCCTCAACAGCGCCCACACTTCGGTCAAATTCACCATGGAGGTGGAGAAGAACAGCAAGCTTCCTTTCCTTGGCACCGAACTACTCAACCATGCACCTCGGATTGAAACCAAGGTATATGTGAAACCAACAAACACGGGCCTACTATTACACTACCAAAGCCATGTAGACAATCGCTACAAACGGAGCTTGCTGAAAACTATGCTGGATCGCGCACACCGATTATCTTCCTCCTGGGCCCATTTCTCTGATGAGTGTGATCGCCTAAAGAAAGTTTTCGCACGGCTTAAATACCCGGAACGCCTGGTAAATTCTACCATTAACACCTTCTTACAATCAAGAATTGTTGGTACGCAGCCCACACAGACGCCCAAAGAACCAATATCCATTGTTCGTGTGGTCATACCTTTCAAAGATCAGGAATCAGCAAATTATGTTAAGAAAGAGCTCAAGAATCTTAGCATGAAGGTGCAGACAACTGTCCAGCCAGTATTTGTTAGCCGCAAAGTTGGCCAAGATCTTAAAGTACGAGAAATCAAGCCACAGATCGTCAACCAACAACGCGTCGTTTATCGTTTTCAATGTGACCTGTGTGATGCGGGTTATGTGGGCTATACACGCGGACACTTACACATACGCTTGGATGGACATAAACGAAAGGCATCTTCAATATATAAAGACTACCACGAACGGCAAAGCGAAGTCTCGAAAGACCTACTGAAACGTTTTAGCATTCTGAAAAAGTGTAGTAACAAGTTCGATTGTTTGGTGAACGAAATGCTTTTCATCAGAGACCTAAAACCCACTCTGAACGTGCAAAGCGATTCAATTCGCACAAAAGCATTTTTATAATTAGCTCCTAACATATCTATGCTAATTTAGTGTTACACCTTGCCGCAAACTTTGTAATTTTTACTGCTCCTTGACAATGGCGTCATGATGACACCGAAACGTCGGTTTTTATCGCTGGTTTTTGCTTGTCTTTGCATTTCCAAATCGTTACTGTTATTATTATCATTTTTATCATTATTATCATTATAATCGAATAAGTTATAAATACGACTTGTAATCTATTTTGTATATATGTACCCACCCGACTTGAATAACTTACTGAAGATATTAGGTAACAAAAAACTCTGAGATAAAAAAGATTAAAAGTTCGCTGGTAAAAATGTTTTTAGGGCGTATGACGGTTCATTAATACCACGGTATTGTTCAATATAGTTTACTGCTTCATCTCTTTGCAAGACATTGTTTATTTTCTGTAATCAGTGCAGTGTTTAGTCGCATCTTGCTTGGCATCATAACACAACAATCTAAAGAATCAAAACAGAGGGAAAACGTTTCAGCTAGCATGAATTAAACAAAATAATATATACATATATTTCTTTTTTCGGATTCCTCGTTATACTTCCTATTTACTACTTACCAAGGACAGTATCCCCATTTTTTGTCGAGCTCAAACACTTTTGTCACCGAACACCATTTCTTGACAGCATTTTGATTTGTACATCTCCAATAAACTGCACCATCGTAAATAAAAGGAAAATTGCAACAGGCTCCTTTGGCGTTTCCTCCGAATGTAATGACACCATTTTTGCAATCTGGAGAAAGAAATTAATTGTTCAGCATCAAAGGTATCCACAGTGCAGATAGTTTTCTTGTTAAGCTGTGTTTAAGTGCCTTATTTGTTTTGAAACGTCCAATCAGAGCGTAAATGAGATCTGCCATTGTTGGTATACAGCTGTGGGTCACTGGTTGGAAAACCACACAAATTTATCTCTTGAAGGTGTTTCACAACTGACATTGCACAATGTTCATTTGCATTCAAATAATTTTGAAGCGAGTGATGAATGTAACCTTTGCAGCAATTAAGGAAGTACTAATCTAAACTAAATCTTGGAATATTACCGACTTCCCAAACCAGTGACCTCTTCTGGTTATTATTGCTGACGAAGTCTTCCACGGCTATATATAAGAAAGCCAGAAATATGAAGACAATCATTTATTTCAGTGCTTTCGTGGACTTGAATTAAGACATACTTTATTCCCTTACCTATTTAATCATAGTTACTTCGCTAAGATTTGGAGTGACCTTTCAAAACACAAAATTTTGATTTACCCTGGGTGGTGTTTCTCCAGTTTTGCTGCTTGGGGTTTTCACTTTTCTGTCTTTTGCAGCATTCAGTAGGACAGGTCTTTGCACAAATCTTGCTACATACTTCTGGACAAAGTAACTTTGAACGGATTACAATCGGTGACACTGAAGGTGTTTGTAAGCTCATTAAGGGAGCTAAATCTTCCCCATGAAATTTGGGATAGTAGACAGAATTTAGTACAGAACTAGTTCTTTTTCGCGATGCCTCACAGCATTTCGGTGGACAGTTACCATGACATTTGGTGTAGCAGTTAGTCGGGCATGGTAGTCTAATAGTGTAAGATAACTTGTCTCGGCCTACGCCTTGTTGTGGATTGTTGCAACAGTCCGTTGGACAGTAACTAACACATGTTTTGAAGCAAATCGGAGGCCAGTAGGTAGGTGCTGGAGGGGGACTTTCCACGTAAGGTGAAGGCGGAGGGAAATGACAACAACGAACGGGGCAATCTGGTGCGCATGTGTCGGTGCAGATCGCTGGACAAGACTGCGAGGTCTGCTGGATCATAGGGACCAGCTCGACCTGTTGAAAAGTGAACAAGCAAATAGACTATCTTTACTTAATGTTTGTTACTGTTCGGTCTCCTGTTCGGCCCACCGTGAAGTTTGATTAAACGTTTCTAACGCTAATTTCCAGCAACTCCAAGAACTGCCGGAGTTAATTTTTTTTGTGTTTTCGATGTGTGAAATGGTTATTATAAACCCTTAGTGTGCAGCCTCCTTTAAGGAAAGAATTACCTGAGGGGGGGGAGGTGATGCTGCAGCTGGTTGTTTCTGCGTACTTGTCATACCCTTCACACAGCAGTAGTCGGGACATGTGTCCGAGCAATTGCCATCACAATCAGCAGAACACGGTGCATAGGTAATTTTAGACTGGGGGACTGAGCCGGGTGCATCACCTATCGATGTAACAAGTGAACATGTTCACTTATGTACCATGCGACAACTTCTAACTTGCGCTCTAACCTCCCAAGGATTACAATTGCAAGCGTACGTTTGAAATGGTCCATTATAAAGGTAACTGTAACTTAAAAACTTTTCCTCATTTTATTTGAATTGTTAACGTGATTTTACTGTTTCGAGTAAAAACAAAGCAAAGAGAAACAACACAATGACGTGATGGTGGGACACGTCATACCGAAACGCGAGCTTCAAATTTCTTTCAATTAAAACAATTTGTTGCAGACACAGCTATCGTCATCCCAATACTGAAGTTATCAACTTCTAAGGAGTCTTTCTTTCCCGCATACAAACAAAATCAAGCGATCGAAAAACATGTCTAACCTCCACAATAGCCCCACTGTTTATCTACATCATAGCTGTAAGTGGTGGCACACCAGGGCTTGGTTGCATCCTGGGTAGTGCAGGTCGTGTACATTTTACCGTCATACACGAAAGGAAAATGACAGCAGTTGCCATTTGAGGTACCTCCGTAGCAGAGAAAGCATGCCGCACAAAATCCCCACTTCTTATCCTTGTCGTAATCGTTGGTGGTTGAGCACCAGCGGTAACCTCGCTCAGCCCTCGTGCAGCGGTGCTGCGGCTCTCCTCGGTAGATAAATGGGAAAACGCAACAGGCGCTATTTGAATTTCCTCCATGAGTGGGCATACAACCTGTTTGTTTGGTTGAGATTAAAAAAGGACTTTAGTGCTAAATCATATCGAAATATTTAGACATTTTATTTTGTTATGGTTGAAGAACTCAGATTTCAGCTGGACTGAGATCTACCTTGGTACAAATTTAAGCGTCCAGCCTACCTTGAATTATCACTGATCCTGAAATCCCTACGAAAAATGGAAGTAAAGTTTAAGATGTTCACACTCATTGCACCAGTTTCAGTAAACCTTAAGTGATGAGAGTTTCTGGCATGCAGATATATCGGTGTGTATTCTGATGAAACGTTTTATATACACAACGATTATTCACCAGAGTGGAGATGACACTGGGGGATGACTTTTTTAACATATACCACAAAATAACTAAAAGGTTGATTAGTTTCCGCTAGTAAACAAAAAGTGATCTGAAACCAAACACTTTTAAAAAGCGCTATGGAGATTTACACGGGTAGTTATTGATGTTTTGATCTGCTCAGAACCTTTGAAAACAGAAAGATATATGTTGTCTCCTTGGCTGCTCAGGTCGAAGTTGAATAACATTTGCCGATCACTTTAGCGCTAGCCAATCAATGAGGGCGAAAAGCATAATTCTCTTGCGTGGCATATAATAAGCGAAAATAGTGCTGCTTAACTGTTCGTGCAAAGATTACTTACCGGGAACAGAAGCAAGGGAAGAAGCAGGAGGTAATGTTGGTAAGGTGACTGATAAAAATAGTTTGACGCACTGAGGGGACCCAGGGGAACAGGCATTTGGAGAAAGGACAGATGTGCTATTGATCGGCTTGCATGGTGGAGAGCCAGCAGGTATAGGGCTTGCAGTTGGTGAGCAGGGAGGAAGTGGTTTAGGTGAAGTCACAGTGATGGGCGTTATTACCGTGGAGCATGGACTTGTTCCCGGAGCGCAAGGTGTAGTTTTAGTGGTTGGCAGTGTTGTCGGAGAAGTGGAGGGTGGTGGTGGTGGTGGTGGTGGTTTTGTTGGCTTCATTGATGGAGTGGTAGAGGGTGGTGGTGCAGGAGGAGGTGGGTGAGTTGGCTTGGGAGGTGGTGGGAAGTGCGAAGGAGGAGGGTGGAAGTGGACGTGGATATGAGGTACATGTGGAGTAGGTGGTGGGGGTGGCTTAGTTGGGGCAGGTCGCGGTGTTTGGGTTGTAGGTTTCATTGTCGTTCTTTGTGTTGTTGGTTTATTCGTTGAAGGACCTGGAATTATGAAAAAAAGAAAACAGCCATTGTTTTCGCCACAAACTTAATGAAAAACTTGTACAATAAAAGGTAATCCTTCCATTACAAAAAATGATCTTCCACTTCCCCACTAATTTTGGAACTTTGTTCATTTGCTATTTTTATCGTAAAATCGTTCCTTAAGTAATGGATGAAGTGCAATAGGATGGAGATACTAATGAAATATATAGTGCTCTGTATTCCTCAACATGTATCCTTCACAAATAGCGAGATCAACTAAAAATAGACTGATACGTAATACAAAAATATGTTAATGTTATCTACGTACTAGGTTTTGGCCTCGACGTGACTTTCACTTGTATATAGTGCCAGCAGTGCAGTCCAGGAATCGCATAAACTATTTTCTTTCCATCAAGAAGAATTTCGCGTTTCCCCTCTGGATCTTTGGCCCAGAATGTTACGATCTGTCTGGCCGCGATTTTGGGTTTGTCCAGGTACAACTGTTGAGTATCGGTCAACTCATCCATAACCTGATTATTTAGATCATCAACGAAGTATCAGATCGTGTATGAACCCTGGAACCATAGGTTAGAGGTTGCATTACTGGGTCACAGCGCTGAATAACATCAGTGACCGACAAAACAGATCATTGACCAAAGAATATGGATAAACCTATCTACCAAATGAAATGGATAAACTTATCTATTAGTGTGAATCTTGGGCACGTTATACGAGAGTCACTTGTTCTATGAGAGTGATCCATCTCCACATTCAATGGCCATAGCACTATTCAGCGGGCCAACTGCCTATGCTCAACAAAACCAGGTTAGCTTTAATAGTGCAGGCTCACCTCAGATAAAATTTCTTCATCGTTTTCTAGGACGTCGGTTCGTTTGTGATGAATGACCTTTAAATCTATTACTTTTTGATCGCGAATAACGTAATGAAGGTGTAGCTTGGGTCCAGTGACTAAATACCCTTCTGGTTTGAGACTGGAATATAGAAGGAAAGGCACACCAGCACTGTTCCAAAAGGTGAAGTTGACGCAAGGACCTGAAGAGTAGACAGGCAATTCATTAACAAATGGTAAACACCACAGCGTACACTATTGAGTTATGGATGCACGCGGGAGGTTGCTGAGCACGAAAGAAGCGTAAGAGTCGCTCGAGGCGATAGCCGAGAGCGACTCTAGCTTCTTGAGTGCTCAGCAAACCTCCCAAGTGCATCCATAACTCATTAGTGTACGGTGTGGTGTTTACCATTTGTTTTATAACATAACATTGATACATTGTAGCTAAAGAGTTCCCTTTTATTTAACAAATCTTACGTGACCAGAAAAAACAAGCGCGCGCGGAAAAATAGTCTTTGCATTTGCTCAAGTCAGCAGCGTGCACCCATGGGCAAATGGGGGACGCTAAATTGACCAATCAGAGCGCGCGCTTTACTTTGGTTATGTTATAATATCTTATTTATCAAATGCTTGCATGAGGCCTATATTCGTGAGGCAAGAATCATTCGGTATCAATACAACCGTTTGGAGTGATTTTTCCTTTAAGATGACGAATTAAACCATTCCATCGACGTATCAATGTACAGCAGACGTTTTTGACGTTCAGTGAATGAGATTTTTAATTAAGATTTTCTGCACCTTAATTTCTCCTGGTCCGAAATTTTTGGTAATAGATTCAGACTGTTACACCGTCAGAATTTGTTCAATAATCGGTGGTAATTTACATAATTCCCAATCACTTCCAGAAAGAGTGAGCGTCTTATCGAAAAAAAATGATGCAATGACTTCACTCTTCTAAGTAGACTTAGTAATGCATGTTTCCTTATTTTCGTGCGTCAAATTTCTCAATGGGGAAGCCTGGTGAAGGAAAAGTCACGGTCCTGCATGACGAGTTAGAGTCACAACTAAGCTTGAACCGGCCCCAACGTGATAGTTTGGAAATTTGTTAATTTTTTTGGCGCTTACTCCGTTTGACAGGAAAATTATGAATGAGACATAAATTTTAGCGGTTGTATTTGTTCTAGAATCAAAGAAAGTTATAATCATTACCGTCGTCCTTGTGTGGTGTAGTTGGGACACTTGTAGGACGGGTGGTTCCAGTTGTTGTTTTGTTAAAGATTGGTGGTTTTGTGTTCATAGAACTAACACCAGGAGGTTTGGTGGGTACAATCGCATCATAGCAGTTCATCAGAGGATTTTCGTTTGCCGCCAGAGGCCTTAAAGCAAATGAACACCGCCTTAGCCATTCAGACGACGCCATGTTGTAGTCTGTAACCACCTCCGTTCGATGATAGTTTCTATTTATGCTTCTGCAAATGTACCATCCTTTTCGCATAAGGCTAAACTGGAATGCACCAGGAAGTGAAAACACTTGAAAGAAGGCTGCGCTTGCGTCATAATCTAGTGTAAAAGAAGGCAAAACAATCGAAAACTAATCCTCGTCCCTCTTCAATCCTAGATAAGGGGGCAGTTTCTTAAATGGTTTAACTCAAGATGCTTCTCTCCATTTGGCAGTGATAGAGTTTGAAAGCATCGGTGCATCTCAGAACCCTCGCGGGCTCAAGCTTGAAACCATAGGAACACTAAGCTAAGATAACGGTATTTATGAAAATTTGAAAAAAGGGCGCATTTTTTCTTCTTAGATTAAGATACAAGCAGAGAGGTTACGTTAAAAACTTTATATACAGACTCCTTCGTCAGGGTTACGAAATATTGTTTGTACATGTGAACACTTGCTGAAGTTTAGCTGCAAACTGTTGTATTTCGATCGCAAAAATGCATTTTGTGTCGGTTTGGCCACAATGATGTCGATAAGCGTAGTGGGCGGGTAATCAGCTCTGTCTATTTAAGTTTTAATTGATTAAAGTTTACAAATTAGGATTCAACAATTTTAAAATGACCGCCATATTAATCAATATATACGGTTTCTATGGCCTCATACGCATGTTTGTGGCATGCCTAGACATTTTTCAACTCTGTCCCCAGCAATATAAATGGACACGTCCGCAAAATTCGATGAAAAAGGGTGAGGATTACCTGCAATGGACTAGCATCTCGACCACAAGGAGTACAAACACTCATAATCGCTTCGTCCCGAAGCTGATAAAATCCGCTTACTGGCTCGTGGAAAATAACGTAAGTCTAACCTAAATATCTCTTTTTACCTTCAAATGATGATGAATCGCTGACATTTGTATTGCAAATGCGGGGATTTCAGTTTGTTATAGTTGATACTTTGTTAGAATTATTGATATTGTTAAATTTCCAACATACCAAATTTGGTCTCTCCTTTGTGTCCCAAAACGAATCTGTAGTTCTTCTGTCGAATATAATGACCAGGTGAACACATAGACTCAAAGGAAATCGTTTGATGGTCTCCGGTCCCTTTGTCGAACCCTGGAATCTTGATGGAAAATGCCTACAGATGTGTTTGAAACAAAAGCGCAGTTTCACAATTTCAGTTCAGTAACCACTCAAAAACACGCATTTGGGGTTGTTTCTATAGTAACAATAATAATAAAATAACAATAACAATAATAATACAAATAATTATAATAATAAAGGTAAAGTTCTTTTCATTGGGGCCTTGTAGATTTATCAAATAAATTATTATTGATGAATAATTCATACATGATAATTTGAAAAATAATAGTAAATAAAAATTAGAAATAAGGATTAAAACAAACTTAAACACGCTTTTCTATAGACCACACGGTACTCTGTCATCGTGAGTATAGACCATTTCAAGGTTGCCGGGGCCACTTTGCCGGGCGTGCAAAACTGCTGGGGCGAGCGCAAAATGTACAGTGAATGTAAGGAAAAGTCGGGAGATTGATGCTCGATAATTTGAAGAAGGTTGACATTCTCCAATTTCTATAAATTACGAGATAAAGATACTTAACAAAAAGATGTTGCCGGTTAAATGCGAAGGGTTCGGGCTCGCTTAGAAGTGAGAAATCTCATTTCTAGTTTTTCATACAAATGCTTTTAAATTTTCCCGCGAACGGCGGCATGGTTTTACAGAGAAATATATGGAAAATCAAAATCTTAATTTGCGACATTTTTCGTGAGACTTCATTTCTCAAATTTGACCGGTAAACTGGTATCTTTAGTTCGTAATTCACAGAAATTGCACAATGTCAACCTTCCTCAAATTATCGAGTATCAATCTCCCGACGTTTTCCATACTTTCAAAGTACATTTTTTCGATCGCCCCAGCAGTGTTACACTCCCGGCAAAAGGACGCTGATAACCTTGAAATGTTCTATTATTGTCTAGAAATAAATTTCATTCAACCCTACCTGGCAGTTCTGAGTCAGCTCTAACCTTCCATTAGTGATTCGCCAGCAAAGATTGTAGTTAGGATTCTGACTCGCAGGAACATCGAAAGAATGAATTACATACAGCGCTCCGTTGACGACTAAAAAAGAAAGCGGGAAAAGCACAATCCAAATGTTAGGGGGAGGAGATTTGACTATTTTTCTAAGGTTCTCAAAGCTAAAAAATGACTGCATTATTTCTAAGATGTTTGAAATATTTAAAATTCAATCGTGTTTAAAGGAAGAAATCGGGCTAACACTAATCCTTGCACAATGCAACAGACTTTGATGAATGGCATTGGGGTAAAGTTTTTATACTCACGAACTCTGGAAAGTCCTCGTGGATCTAGAAACTCTTTATTTCTTGCAATGATATGAGAATTGTAGCTTGGAGGGGGGATGTAGTATGGCACTTCTCGATTGTACACAAATGCACCATGATATATTCCTGGGTGACCGGCTGCAGCAGCTTCTGCAACCCCTTGCGTTCCCGCTGTTATAGTACCATTGATTGATGCTCCGGTTTCACCTGTTTGACTTATCTGACCTGTTTGACCTGTTTGACCTGTTTGACCTGTTTGACCTGTTTGACCTGTTTGACCTGTTTGACCTGTTTGGCCTGTTTGGCTTATTTGACTAGTTTGACCTTCCGCTCCAATTGACCCTGTGGTGGCTGTTGTTGGTCTTGGCTGAGACGTAGATCCCGGCTGCATCGGTATCACGCTTCCGTTTGCTGTGTAAATGTTAAACGTCTGAAAAAGTTAAAGTGATAAAGAAGTTTACATTGAGGAAGTATTGACAAAGAAGATAGCAAAAGTTATGTGGAAGAGTGTTGTATACTCGCATTTATAATGGAAATATAGTTTTTTTGGGATAAAGAAAGGAACTTTTATCGAGTGCGCGAGTCAAGGAAAAGTAATCAGAATTTATGTTGATGATTGAAGTATGTAACCTGAAGTATAAAACCTGCCCTACAATTGTTGGGATGCTCACCCATGGAGCCACAGACGACTCTTAGAAGCAAGGACATATACCGCGCTCAAAAAGTCTTCTTTATCTTAATTTCAGAATGCGAAGAGTGAGCCGGACACGAATACCCACTTGTTTTTGAAATGAGCCCAGTTTGGCAAGGGCCTCCTTCAGTGTTTTCGTGGCTACTTCAGTTGCTGCTTCTCGTGCTGCCTCTGCTCCTGCTTCGGCTCCGGCCCTTGTGCCTGCTTCAGCACCGGCTAAAGCACCTGCCTTTGCTCCACTCTTCTGGGCTTCATTCACTCCAAGGGTGGCACCTGCTCTGGCTCCCGCTTTAGCTGCGATACTCACGAGGTAGAACGAGGAGGCGCTCTGGTTGACTGAAAGAGCAGTATTGAAATATTAATGATAGATTATGGAAGAGGTAGAAGGAAAAACCGGTTTGTTTATCAATTTTTCACCGGACCATGCAACTACAACCAACTTAGAGCAGTATTCAAATATTAATGATAGATTATGGAAGAGGTAGAAGGAAAAACCGGTTTGTTTATCAATTTTTCACCGGACCATGCAACTACAACCAACTTAGAGCAGTATTCAAATATTAATGATAGATATATATGAACTTCATATATTCATTGTATCTCATTAGCCATGAGCGTTTATAATATGCCCTTCAATCCATTCATAACAATTTTCGAACCCGTACGATTTTTTGGGGGTGCTTCGCTTCCGACAGTGGTTTTGTTTGTTATGTTGCAATTTGAATTTAATCAGTGCGAGTCTCTTAGATGTGCGATTCGAAGGAGGCAGTGTGGCCGAGTGGTTAGAGTGTCGGACTTGTAATCCGCCGCTCCCGGGTTCGAGTCCCACCCTGACCATTAGATTGGTTTCACGGTAGCCCCGAGTTCAGATCCTTGGAAACGCTTGTAAATAGCCAACTGGTTTGCCTCCGGCCGGTTGGGGTTCTTAATCATGTTCTTAATAATGTTATGTTCGATTTAGACCATTTGTTTCATGTGTTTGCAAGGACCACAATGGAAACTACTGGTACACCAGTAATTTTGTGAAGATATCTACAGAAACGATTATATCTTTCCTTGAATTTGCTTTTAAGGTTGTCTATATCCTTCTGTTGTTTAGCATGGTTATGTTCATGTGAGTTTGTCGTAATCCATCGGCTTGTCCGGCTATCTTCCTGTGTCTTAAACAATTCTATCTATGAATGATCATACCGTGTGGCTTAGGAGGCGGCAGTGTCCACAAATAATCTGAAGGTATTGGTGCATGAAATTTAGAATCAGGTGTTCTTACGGCCACTGCTAAGGAGTCGTTTCCGTATTGTTCTTTATGGAGGGCTTCAATGTAGTAGTATGAGCCGTTTTTCATGTTTATTGGATAGGATTCTTGCTCAGGATATCTGCAGAAACGATAAGGATATAATGAATTGATAACAAGCATAATATTTCAGTTTCCTCAATTATCCAGTTTTCGTGTATTCTTTGTCCCATAAGGTTCTGGCTTAAGGGGTGACAACTTTCTTCTTTTTCTCCAGCCCCTTTGTCCACGCTAAATGACTCTTTCCTTGATGCGTTACGAGGAACCCATATAGGTATTTTGTAGTGCCTATGCGACTTGTAGTTATGAATCAAAATAAAGTTCTTACTTTCTGAATTGCATGGGAAGAGATTCGTGGTCTTTACCAACTCGAGCTATCAATATCTTTTCATCCGGGTTATCATTCACACTGAGGAACAGATGGCCTTCGTTATCACTCTCTGAAATTGATGCAAACTGTTAGATTGGGGAAACCATCATTTTAGGCGACGATCTGTATAGTGAGTTAAAACTCTTAGGTCCAAAGCTTAACACAAAATATCCAGCTTCTTTTTTTCGGTAGGGAATGTTACCTACTAGTCGCCTGTGTGCTGTAATCCAGATCGAGAGGTACGTGAGGCTTGGCTGAGTCATTATAACTCAGTATGATGTTCGAGGTAGAACACTTTGCTTTCATAATACCAGTCTCTCTTCCGAAAGATATAATTGTAACCCACGAACGATCAGGGAAAGCTAAGTAAGTTCCGCAAGGTAACCTGTAATGGACTGGTATCCTATCCAGGGGGCCGCCTAGTAGAACATCTAGTTGCTACAGATGTAGATGCTATACGCAAGGATAGACTCCGGTAGAATTTTTTGTTTGGGATATTGTTTTCGCATGTTGTGCCTTTTGTTTTCCCGACGTCGGTTGAAAAGCTATGGTGATGAATAAGGAAAGTAATTTGATGGAGCCAATCCACGAGTTACGCATCTAAATTTTTAAGCTTAATTTCAAGTGTTTTTTTTGTTCCTTAAGTGGGCAATTTTAATGCGTCAAAGAAATGTTATGAAAAAGCTTCCTATGGCATATGGTTGGTAAATGTTTTGGTAAAGAGAGGCACTTCGAGTTGCGAATGTTTCACACTACCACAATATCTATTCGCATTTGCCTTGATTATGACATTTTCTATGAAATGGGTAACATGGTTTCTTTCCTCACCTATGAAGAACACGTGTGGCCCGCTCTTCTTTGGGACAAAGTAACATCTGATCCGAGACCCATAATTGTCCCCCCAGTTGACCGGCTCTCTGAATATCGGTGAATAAGAGAGATATGTTGGCATCGTGGGAAAACGAGGATCCTCCAAAAGTTTTTGGATCAAATATCCATCTATTCCATCCCATCTTTCCAGTACGGTTCCTTTTTGCCTACGAATCTCTAGAGAGTAGTAGGAGGAATAGTTTATCTTTAAAAAATGAGCTTAGAATGATCTTTCGCATTGTTTTTTTTGGGAGCTCCCTTGTTAATGACCGGGCAGTTTTTCACCCACCAAACTCACCTATAGAAATCGTAAGCTTGAATTTAACACATGTACGTTGACCTTAGTTTACAAAAGAGGAATGCCAACTGAAAATTTGGGTTTTGATGTTTTAGCAAATTGTAGAAATCTTTCTAGCATACAAACCATTAGGGGTAGTTCTCTTTCTGGGAATCTCTTCTCTTGCGGTTGAATAAACGTTACCATCGTGTTTTCCTGTTAGAACAGAAGGGACACATGAATTAATAAAGCTTCCCCATTCTAATCATAATGTAGATTCCTCTTCTCGCTTGATTCATCCACGTTTTTTTTTTTAATATGAAAAAACATTTCTACCTGGAGAAAAATGATATTTCTATAAAAAAAATTGTTATTAGGGAGTAAACAAATCCTATTTGTATTTTTTTTTTAACTGTTTTTTTTTTCTAATCAGATAATGGGATTGCAAATAAATGAAAAGTAAAGTAGGATTGATAAAAAGATTTCGAGAGACCAGTTTGCTTCCACATTGTATTCTTGTACGGAGGATAACCTATGGTTACGTATGTTACCAGCTATTCTGTCTAAAGAAAATTATGATTGCTTTTGTTGAAACTGAAAGGGCGATTTTATTCTGTAACAGAATAAAGAACTAACAATTGATAAGGGTGTCAAAGACGTAAATAACTAACTTTTTATATGAGAGAGAAACCATTTCTATCTCTAACAATATTTTCTTTTCGGTAATGCAGGGACGTTTCTAGACAAAACACACTTGAGCAAATATGCTTTATCCATACATATAACAAAATAAATGTACGTGTACTTAAACAAGAGCAGGTTTTTTCTATCGATAAACTCAGCGGGCTCATTGCAGGTCTAATGATAGAACACTAACTATATCTACCATGTGTGTTCTTCCCTACACAATAAACACAATTTTTTTACCTTCTTATGAAGTGTTCTGACACGACCTTGCTAAACTGATGCCATTTCATTAATGGCGCATTAAACAAACGGCTGGTTGTCGTTATGGTTCGTAAACACAGTAAGGAGTAATTTGTGAATTTTTACAGACTAGAAAAACATCCATTAAGTAAGAAATCAGAAATACACCGGGAAATGACGGAGCAACAAATTATTTTTCTCCATTGCAGTAGAACCGTTAGACATGCGTCCGTTACAGGTCAAAAACGTCACCCTAGTTCAAGTTTACTAAATTGATGACAAAAATTAAAATGCAGCTTACCCATGTGTTTCTTTGACGTGAAAGAGGATGCGAGAGGTTTGTACATAAAAATAATAGTCCATATTAACAGATGTACGCTTCTCATGCTGCATGTTTATGAAGTAAAAGTCAGCTTTGTGGGAGCGGCTGTAAGAACAACATGGTTTAGTTGGGTGTTAGACTGTTTTTTTTTTTCCTACTGATTTCTGCTAAGCTGTGACATGTACGCGTTCTTGCCACCTGTTTAGACTGGTCGGGTGGTGCTACTCAACCTTCTCTGTTGCCATGATGTAATCCTTAATCAGCAGTAGTAAGTGAAACACCTTTTTAAGTTACCAGGGTTACATAGAAACTTAATGACGGTTTAGTTTGAAAGCCATTTAAGAAAAGATCCAACCCACATTTCTTGATGATAATCGAATCCCATTAACTTTCGAGTAAGAACGGCGGTCGCTTGGCACACTAGACCACCAGGCTACATGGACTTAGAACGCCTCTCACTTAATTTTGTTGTTATTTTTTTCTGACCTCATAGTATAGATCCGCCTTTGGTGGTTGCTGATGGTACTGAACTTCGAAAGGGTTTAAAGGAAAACTGGTTGAAATTCATAAGCGAAGAGGATACGACTAATTAGTGTTTTCTTCAAATGATGGAGCAGGGAATCGAACGCTGAAGCGTAAATTAAAGTGCCTAATGAAACCCATGAAAAACCCCATTGAGCGTTAGCCCTAGTAAAGGGTATCAGGGAGCCACACTAGGTAAAGAAAAAATTATTGTGACCTCGGTGGGAATCGAACCCACGACCTCCGGTCGATTAAGGTGGTGAATCGCGGCGAAGAGAAAGTAAGGGTACATATAAATGTTGTGCCGCGTAGCACTAAGAACACAAATGATGGAACAGAGAATTAACTCTGAAGCGTATATCAAAGTGCTTAATGTTTCTTTCGAAGAGGTAGTTCTAAGCAATCCTCCTGCTTCGCCTTTAATAAAACCATATTTAACGCCTGGTGGGTGGCACGGGGCGAAGTAAATTGGAAAGACTCGCTCGACTTGTAGTGGGTTTTAATGTCCAAGATGGAATTCTTTGTTAATCTTTCCCCTTTAAACACTGTGGTATCGAGGAAAGTGATTTGGTTCTCTGATATTTCGGCCGGGAATTTGATAGTAGGGTGGAAATAGTTAGCTTGTTTAATAAATAGATCCACCACTTTTCTGTCGCAGTCCTAAAGAGAGAAAACGTCATCAATGTTATGTTTCCATGCTCTTCTCTTGGTTTCGCTTTGTTGGATTAATTTCGTTTAAATTTTCACCATGATTCTTTTTTATTTTTTCTACGTATCTGACTGGTTCGGGAGTCGATTTCTCGTCATTTTGAAGGCTCTCGACACTGCGATGTAAGTTGGAAGCTAAACTAGGAAATTAGAAATCGCAGCATGGTCAAAATAAGATTCTTTGGTACGTTTTAACACGCATGTTAAAGAAAAAATATATATAGCATCATTTTCATGAAAGTAAATACCAACTGGCGATAGACGATGGGAGATTTTGACAAGAAGATTAGATTTAGACAGTTCTTGAGGATCGAATAAAAGAGAAGTGCCCACCACATTGTCCGGTACAAGTAGCGACTAAAATGTAATAAACAAACTATAAATGTAGGTTAAGTTCTGTTTCAAAGGAATAATCAAAAACTACATTTTTTTTGTCCATGAGAGATGGCTTGTCTTTTTCCTTGCAAAAATGGGCCTTTGGCAAGTCTCATAACCAATAATTCTGCGGAACACGTTTCCTTGACGAGTCTCAATGCCTCTGAATTTGTTTTCACTTGTTGATTTGGATGTACAGGGGAGAATAATAGAGGAGAAAAGCTTGCTTCTCTTTCTTAGCCCACTGGCTCTGAAATCACCAGATCGCTCACAATAATATTGGTTTCTCTTTATTATCTACAAGTGTTCTTTACATATCCCACACAAAAAGAAAAAACCTCCGACTTACTCAGAGTGAAAAGGGTTGAATACTTTAAATCACTAAAAACATTGTAAGCCCTACTTAGGTCTTTCATCTTATTTCAGTAAATGGAGAATCCAAGACAGTTCAGTTTGTGTCCTTTTCACGCCACTGTGATGTCGTCGTCTCCCTCGTCACCCGATGTTTTCTCGGGAAAGTTTCGTTTGCAGCAGTGTGATGGACAAGTGGGATAACATTCTCCCGAGGTGAGGCATGTGTTAGGACAGACTATAAACAGATGAAAATGGAGACGCGGTTAAATCAGTAACATGCCTTCATCTTATCGTTATGCTTAATACAATTTCAAGTTTTTAAATCACACGTTTCAACGATCGCATCGCTGAAAGTATCCCTAGCTCACTAGTGGTATGAAATTGCCTTTAAACGGTATCCTTTAGATATTCTAAGTGTTGTTGTAGTCATACCTGATGGATTGGCTTCCTTGTGCCCATGATAGTGGTAGTGATAGTGAACTTCTTTTGGCTCCTCTCCTTTAAGCAAAAGAACGGAAACAACGCGTCGGTAGGGAAAAATACTCTTAGTCGCACTGTTTTAACCATCTAGTTGTTCAACATTATTTTCACTTACTTATTCTGGACGGAAAAAAACCGATGTCACCCCCGAAATCAAGTAAGCAGTCAAGTGAAGTTATTTCGGACCTGCAGTATTACCTTTCTTGGGTGCAGATGGGTTAGAAACCACTGGAGAAAAGGTAGGGCCCACAGGTAATATGATGGAAGAAAGGTGGTGATGATGGTGGTATGGAGGTGTAATTGGAAGTGATGGATGTAGTGACACAGGAGGCAGAAGGGAAGGCGTTGCAGGAGCTGTTGGAGCACTACCGGAGTGTGCTGTAAAGTGAATTAAGATAGAGTAAAGAGAAAAATCAATGCAAACCGATACTAATGAAAATCCTAACAAGATATGTTAATCAGCTGGGTTAATAAGCGAGTAAGATGTTGTAAATATTGCGTGATGAAAACATTTAAAGTAATTTTTGTTCTGATCTCTTGGAATTAGTTTTATAACTCTAAACGTAACTCTAATGCATACCTATTCACTTCGTTCGCGTGTTGTAATTTAAGTTGTTTGAGTAAACAAACTTATAGGATCACTTCTCGACTGCACTGAAGTCTCCGTGAACGAAAAGGGAATCTTTAATAAACAAATAATGGCTCTACCACAATATTCCAGAATCGTTTAGTATATATATCTTATTAGACGTTTTGTTGTAGAGGATCCCTGAGCATTTTTACCAGTTGTGCCTATTTTGATGAGCCCGTAGGGTGAGTCAAAATACAAACAACGAGTAAAATACCTAGCGATACTACACAACAAAACGCCTAACAAGAGATTTATTATCCAACAAGCCAAATTGTTATTTCAGTGCGGGAAAAATTCGCGGATATTTCTGGAGTACAATTATCGCGTGATAATTTGTACTCATCTTACGCGTTATTTGTACTCTAAGAAGCACAAAGATAATAAACTCTATTCTCCCCTATTTCTTCATTGTACCTTGCTCGGCTGTAACTAATACATTTACAAAGACAGGACATCCCACTATCGCTGGTTCTGAAATGCTTGGTTTCTCGTTCAGGAGGATGTTAATCTTTCCACGTGGGTCTACAGCATTGAACGTCACGTAGCTATGAAGTTCAGGTCTCTCGATTATGAGTTTGAGTTTAATTCCTGAACCAGTGACTAGGTATCCCTCATGTTCGAGTGAAGAGAAAAGCTTCAGCGGCGATCCCACGTTGTTTACAAAGTTCACCGCCACACAGGCCTCTATTGCCAACATGGGAAAGGTTTTCATTAACGATACAGCATAAAAAGGCAGTGTTTACATAAAATTGGTGACCACTCGAATAACAATTTTTTACAGCTGTGTAACACTGCTATTCGCTCAGAATAACTTCTGCCACAAGTTGAATTATGAACGCCAGTTAAACACAACTACGCAATTGAGGTGAAAATTTTGTATCACTAGTACTATAATCGAGAAATCGAACACTTTGTTTAACCTTTCGAAGAATTAGATATGCTTTCGATCCCATTACATTATTAAACTTTGGTATTACAGTACAACAGTCACTACATATACGCACTTACTTTTAACTGTATTAACTGCAGGTCTCAAGGGAAGGCCCATACTTCCTTTTGGTACAGTAATGTTAGTAGAAGGCTTAAAATTTTTTGGTTGTCCTGGTGAGGTACCTATAGTGCCTAGTGGACATATTGGTATACAAGAAGGAAGTGCGGAGGATGCTGCAAACTTGTTTGAAATCAGGTGAGGGGGGTGTGGTAAGGGTTGTCCACTTATGTAGGGATGTTTCACTGGCCCTAACACGTTCTGACACGTTTTATGTTTGTTTTCATTTTGAGCTATAGGATGGAATAAGAACGTGCACCGACTCAGCACATCAGGGTCACCATTGTAAAAGTCCAGCATTAGCCTAGATGTTTCGTGAATCGATTTCCTGTTCCCTTTCTCGCAAACATACCAATCTTTATGCATGGACTGCAGCATGATATTGCGCGTATACTTCATCACGGAATACGCAGTAAAAGAACTCTCTTTATCTGCAAAAGAATGGCGATATAATTGTTGTAATATGTAACTTTCAAAGACAAAATAGAAGGTGTAGATCGTATTCTTTCTCATCAATAAGACTCGAAAACTAGAACAAAATAGTTCTACTTCTCTAGAGGTACAAACTTAGACAAGAATGATAACTCAATGTGTCACGTGTAAGAAAGTATGCGATCAGGTAGTAGATTTAGTCAGGCAGCAAGCCAGCAGTCAATAAGACAAATAAAAAACGTATTTGTTGAGCCCGAGTTCGTAGACTTTGCTTTTGCACTGATTTGATGTCAAAACCCTCTGATTCGTCGACAATCTTTGCAAGAGGTTATAACACTGAACTTATCTCATTTCAAATTTCCTTTTTTTGACAAATAGACTAAACCTTCACCTCATGTACCACCACATAGAAGGGACTAATATTTATAGAGACAAATAAATAACTTAATACTTGCCAAAGAGGTCTGACCCGTCCCTTTTCTGCAGCACATAGTGGTAATTCTTTTGTTTGAGATAGTACCCTGGCAAGCATAGTGACTCAAAGGATACTGTCTCGTTTCTTTCTTTAATATTTTTGTAAAGCCCTGGAATGTGAGCTTTAAAAACCTGGCAAAAAGGCCCTAAGCCAAAGTCGCCATCTTTTGCACGCCAGCAGTAGTTGAGAGTGCCATTTTCCTGCGAGTATGGAATGTCATATGCATGGATGGTGTATAATCCATGACCAACAACTGCGAAAAGAACAAAAACGTTTGAAACGTGCTATGAAAATATCAATAGTGTGAAGAGATACAACACCCAACACCATTTGAATCGATGCAACTTGGCTCCTCAAATTAATATTATGCGTTTCTTAAGAATTAGCAACGTGAAGGAGACACTTATTCCTTCAACCTCAATACTCATAAGTATCAATAACAAGTGTTATTAAATTTTCAACTTTCTGATTGGTTCACTCAACTCTGATTATCAGCTCATATTCCAAGACATCTTATATGGAAATGCATTGAGCTAACCGTTGCGGAGCTAAAAAAGGCTCCAAATATCCAACCGTTCAGTATTTGATAAAGCATAAAACAATTATTCCATTCGCGCTTGTTGGATAAGAGGTTGTTTAAAGCTAACTTGCCGCTAACCGCCTCGTTGGCTATTTACCATCTCATATCCAATGCGCGCTCGTGGAATAACTTTTGAATATCTTTTAATGACATGAACATATAATCAAGCAAAGAACTGATGAGCATGCCAACTTCAGGGTGTGGCCTGGCAATAACTCCAAATAAGTTATCAAAGGAAATGGATGACAACCAAAGGGAGAGATTCACTTATGAGATTTGGGTGTTAAAGAGTTGCGGTAAGGATGTTTAAAACCAGCAAACTTTCACTTGAATGTGACACGCCAGCATTGTTCTTTTCCAAATAAAGAACCATTCTAACCAAGGTAAATGTCTCTTGTTTTCTTATCAGTTATATTTTGATTTTCGTATTCATTTTTTGTTTTCAAGATTGTTTCGAAATAATGGCGTTTTACTTACGTCTGCTTGCACCTCCAACCCTCCAGACTAATTCCCGAGCAACGGCCTGTGGGTCTTCACCCTTTTTCGGAATATAAGTGACTTCACGTTGGGATGTATAACTTTCCTGGCCAGACACTTGGACTCCACCGCTAGCTCCACTAGCAATTCCTGCTGCCCCTTTGGCCCCACTGATTATTTGGGATAATGATCCACCGGCTGTAGCACTCCCGCTGATAGATTGAATTCCAGCACCTCCTGCTCCTGCAATTACGCTTGCCCCTGCCCCGACGCCCAACCCTCCGCCAGCAATCCCACTTGCTCCACCTCCCATACCTGTTCCCTTACCAACCCCTCCTCCCATACCTGCTCCACCTGCCACTCTTGCTCCCAATCCTCCTCCTCCTGCCACTCCTGCTCCCATTCCTCCTCCTCCTGCCACTCCTGCTCCCATTCCTCCTCCTCCTCCTCTTCCTCCTCCTCCTGCTACTCCTCCCATACCTTCTCCACCTCCTGCTTCACCTCCCATAGCTGTTCCACCTCCCGCTCCTTCAACAGATGAACTGCCTGTACCAGCTCCCCCTCCACCTCCATTCACTCCAGCTCCCATTGCGTTGGCTACACCAGTAGATCCTGCTGCTTCAGAACCACCCATTCCAGGACCAATCACATCGATCACACTACCATTCTCGAGGATTATCTTAAACTTATGCAGGTTATCACCATGAAGAGTGTTCAATGCATCCTCCAGCATTTTTTTCGTTGTCTCAGCCGCCGCTTTTTCACCTGCACGAGCTCCTGCTGATGCTCCAGCTTCTATTCCTGCCATCGCACCAGCGTTTGCTCCCGCCTGAGCTCCAGTTTTCATTGCCCACCTAGCTCCGAATGATGAACCTGCTTTAGCTCCCGCCTTTGCCGCCACCTTAAGCATATCTGCCTGATAGGTGGCATTTTGATCTTTTTGGAAATCAAAACATTTTTGATTAAGGGTGATATTACTTTGGAATGGAACTTTAACCATAACTAATTATGGTATGGTAGCGAGTGGAGAAAGAGTTCACTTTACCTCTCAGGATCAAGCTACCATATTTTGGAGTTTATTTAAAAAAGGTTACGAAGGTTGTGTAGAGTTGCTTGGTTAATCAGTGCCCTTTAATTTGTTGTAGGGATTACATTGGTAAGTTGCATTGATGCATTTTAAACAAAGTAGATTTTACTTACATGTAGAAAGACGGTTGGTTGTCCATAAGAACTGAGAGGGAATCACCTTATAAAAATTTCCATCTGGTGTCTGTAAAGCAACCTCCAAGTGGTCCCACTGATGATCATCTTTCATGATTGCTTCCATGTAGTAGTAAAGACCCTTTTTCAAAGATACTGGCAATGACTTCTGATTTGTGAACCTGTTAAGGTACATTACCATATGTCAAGAGTTTGGTGGCCTGTTCTACTGAGATTCTCTCTGACATTCAAAAATCACCCTCTCAGTTTCTATGTCTTTGTCAAATTTTTGAATTGAGTTTCAATTGAAATCCTAATTCACTTTGGGTATTACAACTTTTGTGGCTGTTCTTTAGAACGTACGCCTCCTCAACCAATCAGGTGCAAAATTAGAAATCGCCTCTTGTATTGGTCAGTCCTCTTTCTTCCCCC